TACAGAGAGTCAGACGACACAAAAGTAGCTGCTTATTACGGAGCTCGAGGACTTTTCCCGGAACAAAATACGTGCGGGCTTCTGCGCATGCCCCGGGCTTTCTTCCGGAGAGGCTGTGATGCTGGAGAGAGGAAGCAAGGACCCCCGTGTCCCCCACCCACGCTGCTCAGAGTGGAGATGGGCAATGGGACACCACAAGACAAAATCCTCCTCAGAAGAAAGCCCAAAGAACACCTTCTAAGACTGCGATCAAGGTTCTGGCTGTTGAATCTGCTCAGCCTGCTTCCTTTTGTTTTCTCAGTCCCAGAATCCCAATGCACAGCCACCCCCGTTGAGGTTAAGAACCAAGCCGTGTCTCCTGTCTTTGCAGCAGGCTGGTTCTGCTGCGTGCAGGCCCACAAGCTCTAGGGAAGGTGTCTGACCCGGCCTCTGGTCCCTGATCTGACTGCTCATCCTCACCTGGCGTTCACTGCAGTCTCTTTCCTGCTGCGTCCGTTCCGGACTGGGGCCTTTACCATGTCCCGGTCTGGACAAAGTTCCCAAAGCTCTCTGACCCCCGCCCCCGCCCCAACCCTCAAGATGGCATCCTCTGTCTCCAGGCTCTCTCCCCAGTGCTCCCTAGGCAATGGGAAGCACTAGTTAAGTCTTGGAAATGCGATGTCTGCGGCAGTAAGAGCGGTATCGTGTGCCAGCAGACATGCTGTTTTGCTTTGGTGCAGTTCAGACAGATGTCTAACTAAGGCAGTGCGGCTCGTTCTGCCACCTAAGGAGCTGGGGGACAGCTTGGTGTTTCCTGTGAGTCTGAGACCCCCGGGCTCTTGCTTTCCCTGATCCTGGGAGTCAAGTCAGGCAGCCAGATTTAGTCTTTGCCTCGGGTTTTCCCAGCAGGGAACCAGACTGGCGCTGGGAGAAGGATGCTCAGGTGTGAGTGACACCCACCTCCCCACCTGCTGTGGCTGGAGGTTGCCATGGAAACAAAACCCTCCGCTTCCAGGGGGTAGACAGCCACATTCTGGGACCTGTGCTCATACCACGAACAGCCTCTCACTAAGAAGCCAGAATTCGCTTGGTGCAGGTGCTGATGGCTTGCTAAGGCAGCAAGACCAGGCAACTTAGTACACACCTACACCGCTGCTGGCCTTCCCGTGAAAAATGCCTGCCAGAAAGTCTCCTGCCGAAGACTCAGTTCATCTGAACCAAACACCTCTCTCCAGACAACCCAGGTTTCCCCCATCAGCTTTTATCCCAACGCATTCGCAGGCACACACACACACACACACACACACACACACACACACACACACACAATGCAGGAATGACCCATTGTTTGGGATGTTTTTCTTGGTACTGACTGGAGGTGGTAGGAGACTTGCCAGTTTCCACCTGTGTTCACTCTCCTCATGTTCACACAAGATCCATGCAAACTAGGACTCAGTGGCTGTTTGGGTGATAATGACAGCTGTCTTTGGTATGTTTGGAGAGCTCCTCTCGAGGGAGGGCAATGCAGTGGTGGGCAGCACCTGAGTGTCCCCAGCTACCAGAAAACTCAGGTGGGCATCGGGAAAGCCTGGAGAAGCAGAGCTGTACGGGAAGAGGACTGAAGCGTGGTCGCAGAGACTTGCCTCTCAAACCAGCCTTGGGGGTGCTCAGAATCCAGTGGAGATTCAACATCGATAGTTCCCCACTTTGATCTGTCTGCTTCTGCCACTTACCAACACTGAAATTAAGAACGCGCACGTACACACACACACACCACACACATTGCTCTTTGAGACAGGGTCTTACTGCGTGGCCCCTGGATGGCTTAGAGTTAGTTATGTCCACAAGCTTTTCCAGAATCGTGTCATCATACCCAGCTGAAATTTTGTGTGTGTTTGTGTGAATGTGTGCCTCGTGGGGGCAGGTGCTTCCGGAGGCCAGAAGAGGGCATCGGATCGCTCAGAGCTAGAGTTCTGGGTGGCTGTAGGCCACTCGGTGTGGGTGTTCGTAGGTGCCCTTAACCACTGAGCCGTCTCTCCAGCCCGACTCTAGTTTCATTCAGCTCTCAATTGCATCTCCCTTTCACTGACCTCGACAGTCTTCTCCACTGCCATGCGCCGCAGGATATTTGATTGCGCCGTGACATCCAGAGACTGTTAGTGAACTTAACCTTGAATCAGGGACGGAGCCGGCGACTAGATGACCAGAATTAGCCACAGAGAAGCTGGGAATGTGGACAGAGAAGGTAAGCAGGGAAGAGTAGGGGACTTCTCAGTCTCCCATCCAGGATGTGTGCAGAGAGAAGTACTTGTTGGGTCTCTGGTTAAAAAAAAAAAAGTCAGCTGGTCACTCCTGCCCTGCTTCTTTCATCTGTCAGGTTTTCACCCTGATAACCAACTCCCTGAGTCTTTATTTGGTAATAAACACAACAGCCATGAGCTAAGGGGAGGAGGGGGGAGGACAAGACTGAGTCTCTGGGAGCGGCAAGGCCAAGGAACCCAGAGGGGGCTCTGGACAGCACTTGGTGCTACTGCCACCTGGTGTTCGTGCGGCATAACGCTTTCAAGCCTCCTCACCCTTGGAATCTGCAGTGATGCGTGCTCTCAACATCTTCTTCCACATAAAAACTGCAAACGTGGCACGTAGCTGCCATCCTAGCACTTGGGAGGAGGGAGAATCATGAGTTCAAGTTATCAGCTACACGTTTGCTTTATTGATTTCTGTTGTTTTGAAACAAGATTGTAATGAGGATCCTCCTCCTGCCCCAGGACGGTGCCTGGTTTGTCTCTCTCTGTTTTTTGAAGATGGATTACTCTTTAAAAAGACTAAAAACAACATATAACTTTTCAGAAAACAGTCGTGAAGGAAGTCTGAATAATTGCCTTGGAGAAAACTAGGCTCATGGACATGGTGGCTATTTTTAAACAGAGGCTTAGGGGGAGGACGAGAGGGACCTGAGTGCAGCTTCAGAAACAGGACCAGGACCAGGGAGGCTCAGAATCCCCATGTAGCACTGACGGGAAAAGCCAGTCAGACAGAGCACGCCATCTTAAAGGCATTTGAAGTCCTTAAAGGCACTGCTCGGTGACAACCCAGACACGTGTATCTGTAGTGGCTCTGACCGACTTATGGGTTCTTACTCGTTGATAAACTTTCTTTTAAATACACAGGGAAACTGCTGGAGTGACTATCCTTTTTATGGCCCCCATGGGATGATGTCTGCCACCCCTCCCACATCTGTCCTCACGGGTCAGCGTGCACTGGGGGTATCCCAGGGGAAGGCACTGTGCAGGGCTGCGTTGCAGCTGCCCTCTGTTACATGCTCTATGAAGAGCACCTGACCTGTGGAGCCTCAGCCTTTACTTAGTCCTGGCAGGCGGAAGAACAGAGGCTGGGTGTCCCCTCCGTTGGGATGCACCCCCCCCCCCCAGTGGGCAAGGCCGTGTCTCCCTGGTCATGCCTAACCACCAGGGTGTGGGTGGTGGGAAGGGCAGGCTTTCGCTGGATAGCATGTCGGCCATTAAAGCTGGTTCTGAGGAAGGACAGAGAGGTCTTCCACTTTCACCCTCCGTCAAGGACAGACGGGGCAGACCATCCCTTCCCCCAGGCTGCTGAGGAGGGCTGGGGCTGCAGCTCAGTGAAGGGTGCTAATATAGCACTGCACGGCCTTGGGTTTGATCCCAGCACTAGAGAGAGAGAAAATCAACCCAACACAGACCCCAGAAACGAATGGGAGGACTTGCACATAGCGTGTCAGGCGTTATCCGATCCCAATACTGGGACGGATGAGCAACCGCAGCCTTCATGCTGATCTTGAGCAAAGGCCAAGGAGACTGACCTGTGGACGGATGGACAGACCAGCTGTGAGCCCAGGAAATCTCACCCTGCATGACCCTGCTGGGTAGAGGAAGAGGTCAGCGAGGATGAAGGGGGCAGGATGCTGGACACCCCGTCGTTCTCTGGTTGGCCTTGCTCAGTTGGGAAAGCAGATGGGCAGCTCCCCAGTCAGACATCAGCAGACAGCCTTCCTGCCACGTCAGCTGAGGCCACGGTGCCCAAATGGCCACAGCCAAATGCAAAGGCTTCGTCAGGGCACCCCTGAGTTGTGGGCCTCTGGGAGAGTAGGCTAGCAGGATGCCAGGGGACAGCCAGCCGCCCACCAGCACAGGCTCAGCTCTCTGCAGAACAAAGAGTCGCTGTGGCATTCAGAGCCTAGTCCTGGCTCCACAGTATGGCGCACCATCTGCTTCTGAGACTGAGCTCTGTCCTCTTACAAGATTCCAGAGGCAAGGGGGACACTAAACACAAACCATAGGCATCTAGGACAGGAGGGGGTGGGGCAGGAAGGCGAGAGGCCTCAGACCCTGGGGGATGAACCCTGAAAAGCGTGGCTTCCAAAGCAGTCTTTCCAGAAGCATCCAGCAACTCACAGCCACCTACAGCTCACACATCCAGGCTCTTTGGATGGTCGTAAAGATGTCCCAGTCCTGCTTTCTTTCCCCCAAGCCTTTTGCCAACTTGAGACCCTGGGCTCATCAAATCTGAACTTGGGCTGTCTGAAGACAGATCCCAGGAAGGCCCAGAAGGGAGTCTGCAAACATGGGTGACACCTGCCTCTCAGTTACCCTCAGCAGCCTGTCTCCTTACTCCCACAAGGGTACAGTCAGGGAATCAAAGCTTCTGGAACCCCCTTGGTCCTCTGAGATATGCATGAGTCAACAGGGACATGTGCCCCATCTTGCCTGGGCCATCTGCACTCAATTACAAGCGCTCTGGAAGCCGGCAGAGGGCTGATTCTCTGCTGCAGGCTCTCTGTGATTAGCTCGTTCTTGTTTCCAATGCTGTACCCGGTGCAGCCAGCTGTGAGCAACAGTCACGATTCAAAGCCTTTTCCCTCAAAAAGAAAAGTGCCAGGGTAGCTGTGACCGCTGTGTGGAGCCTAAAAGTCTCACTTCCTGGGCCCGGGATCACTCCAGACTGGCCTGTAAAGAAGCCAGCCTAAGAACTACCAAGACAGGCACTAGGAGGGGAGAGACATCTTTAATGAGGAGGCTGAAGCAGGAGGATCACTAATTTGAGGATATCATGGACAAGAGGGAGGACAACACAGGATGTACATGCTAGGTTCTAATGTACACCATGTGGCTGCTGTCTGAGGGCCACTTCCCCTCGCTGTGACGTCACCTCTTATATTAATCAAGCCAGCTCTCTGCAGTCCACGAACTCTTTGGCAGTTACAATTTGTCCTGTGAGCTGTTCACAAGAACTGTGGAAACAGACCTAGGAATCATGGTTTTCAACAAAGCAACAAACTCATTTCCCTTCTCATAAATGGTGAATATGGCACACAGATGCCAATAACCACAGGGCAGATCTGTGCATCCAGGGAGTGTATGTTTGGGACTGAATGGCTTTTATTATCATTTATATATCCTGAAATTCAGAACTCAATCTGGAGTAACTGCCTTTGCTTATCATGCTGAGAAATCAAAATGCCTATTTAGCACAACAGCTGCCCCAAATTATATCATTTTCTTAATCTCTCTCTCTCTCTCTCTCTCTCTCTCTCTCTCTCTCTCTCTCTCTCTCTCTCTCTCTCTCTCTCTCTCTCTCTCTCTGTGGGCAGGATGTAAGGTGCCATGGCACCCATGTGGAGGTCAGAGGACAACTGTTGGGAGTTGTCTGTCTCCTACAATGAGTTCTGGGAATACAACTTAAGTCCTTTGGCACTTAGAGCCCAAGTGCCTTTATCTGCCAAGACATTAAAGTATGTACAAGTATAAAGAAATATATACCAAGTGTGCCTTGTCTCCCAGGACAAGGGTAAATCACCGAGAAAGGGATCAGAAGGAACCCTGCAGCATACACTGGAAATAGAAACACTAATTTAAATTCACAGTTTCTAATGCGGGGTAAGAAGTAAACTCCAACATCTGTGTGTGCGCACATACGCACCACACTCAGGCAAACATTCCTGAGCTCTGATGACAGAGCCTGGGGCTGGAGGGAGGGTCAGCCAGCTAACCCAGCAGCTTCGTCTGTAATCCTCACTGGAGAGGCAGAGGCAGGAGGGTTATGAGTTGAGGCCAGCCTGGGCTACATGTCAAAGCCAAGGTTGCCCTAAATTTCATAGCAAGATCCTGTCTCACAGAAAACAAAACAAAACAAAAAAATCACCAAGGGCTGGGACTTGCATGCATGCAAGGGCCCGAGTTTGATTACCAAGCACTGCAAATCAATCAACCAATCAGTCAGTCAATCACACAAGACAAGCAAAACTCACACTAGACAAACAAAACACTCAACCAACAGCCTCGATGACAACAAACAGCCAAACGTGTCAGTGGCACTTGGGAGGTGAAGGGAGTTAGATTAAGTCTTCAAGGTCAGGTCTTCCTGAGCAGTCTGGAAGGGGCCAGAGCAAGTGGAGTCAGAGATCTATCTGGTGGCAGCAAGGACACTTTGATCACTTGAAGCCACGCTGAGGTCCCAAAAAACAAAACTTGCTCACAGGAACACACACCTGTGAGGTTGGCTGTCAACTCCCAACAACTCAGGCTCAGCCCTAGCTTCACAGCTCTGGCACCTGAAGCAACGGTCTCCGTGGTGGTTCTTTGTTTGCAATGGTGTTTGTTTTTATAACGAAGTTTGAAATAATGTGTTGACTGCTTCAAAGCATGATTTCCTTCTCTCTTTCACCTGCTACATGACTCAAAAACCAGCTAAAGCAAAAGAGAGAGCAGTGCCGAGGACAGGCATCAGCCCTGGGTTCTAAGTGATATTTCGTCAACTGTACAACTCAATGTTGCTTTATGCAACTTGACTGTAAACGTGTTAGTCATTAAAACACCGTGAGGAATCTAAAAAGATCAGTGAATGAATGTAATCTTCTAGATTAGAGTGTGTAATTTTTTTTAGTTTGGCTGCAAAAGCAAAGTCCCACAAGATCCATGCCAAGACGACACAGCAGCAAGTTGTCTCCAGCTCTTGGCAAACCTCGCAAACAACACAACCAACGCTTTAAGAAAATGGATAGGCAAGCTGGAGAGTCTTCCCCACGTAAAAAGTTAAAGCTGTAACTGGAGAACTCACAGCTTACAAGTCTGACAAGCACAAGCTTCGTTTCTGGATGTGACAAACCCGTGCAGACCGCTCTTGGCTCTGGCAGCGGTGGTCACTGACACTAGTTATAATGTACTTTCCAGGGACACAACACAGGACTGCCTGCGTCTGTCCAGAGCTTGCTCCTGAAGAGTGATGAGAATCAGGTCTACGTGGCCCACGGGCTGACGCGGCCTGCCCCGCCCCATCCTCATTTCTCTCCGGTGATGAAGAGGTGGACGTTCTTCGGAGACTGCAGCATCTGTGCCGCCCGCTCGACACCAACCACGGCAGCCAGCCTCTGGGCATCGTACTTGGAATAGAGCACAGTGCAGGTCCACGTAGCCTCCTCTCCTCTACTCGTGGCTCTCAGCATATTACAGACCTCACTGTAGAAGTGAGGGTAGGTTGGCAGTTCGTAGAATATCAGGTTCCTGATGCCTTTTATTGTGTACCTGTGAGAGAGAGAGGGAGGGGGCATGAAGAAGCCAGCGGAGCTGTGCTGCCAATGGCGCCACAGGGAGACGGCAAAAATAAGAGCACAAAGGAAGCACAGAAAGCCACCCTAGAGCCAAAAGGTTTATTGTGTGAGAGTGTTGCTGGATTTCTAACGCTGAATTTAAGATAATGGTAACAAAAATTTGTATTTCTTGAAAATAATTTTTTTTGAGACAGGGTTTCACTATGTAGCTCTTTTGCTTGTCTCTTTGAAATTCAGGACAGAGTCTGCCCTGGCTGTCCTGTAACTGCTAGTAGATCAGGCTAGCCTCAAACTTGCAGGGAACCACCTGCCTCTACCGCCTTCTGAGCTCCAGTATTAAAGACTGTATCATGATGCCTGGGCCAACCTTAAACATTTTATCATTTATTCAGTTTTGTGGGACAGAATCTCACTGTGTAAGCCTGGCTGGCCTGGAATTTGTGCTGTAGGCCAGGATGGCTTCATCTATTTGTTTTTCGAGACAGGGTTTCTCTGTGTAGCTCTGTAGACCAGGCTGGCCTCAAACTCAGAGATCACCTGCCTCTGCCTCCCAAGTGCTGGGATTAAAGGTATGCACCACCAACGCCCAGCCAGGGTAGCGCTCTCTCTCTCCTCGCTCTCTCTCTCTCTCTCTCTCTCTCTCTCTCTCTCTCTCTCTCTCTCTCCCTCCCTCCCTCCCTCCCTCCCTCCCTCCCTCCCTCCCTCCCTCCCTCCCTCTCAAATTCATGTGCACTGTGACATGTATATGGAGGTCAGAAAACAACCTGAGTGTTGGTCTCTTTCCCCCATGTGGGCCCTGGGGATTGAACTGAAGAGTTCAGACTTGGTGAAGCATGCCTATCTCACTGGCTCAGCTGTTTCTCTTTAATCCCTGACCCTAACACATAGGATCTCATGTAACTATGCTGGCCTCAAACACATTATGTAGCTGAGGCTGGCCTGGAACTGATCCTCTCACCTGTCCTTCCTAAGTGCAAAGGTTACTACACGCCTAGCTAATCAAAGTATTTGTACTGATCATGGGTGACTGTTTTCTTTTAAAGTCCATCTCCATGTTCCAAACATGTAATAAATAACCTCAGAAGTGGGAAAACCAAAGAAAACAAGAGAAGCGTGGTCACATTGTTAATAATCTGCTCGTAAGAGAGCCTAGGAACTCCCTGGAAACGAGACAAGCCTGTTACGAGGCACTGCATGTGACTCTCCTCTCCTGAGTCCCTTCCCTGTCCTGCTTTTATGTGCAAACCTCCCCGACTGTGAATGAACCAAGCCTTCAGATCCCGACAGGACCTAAAGCCCGGGACATCCACGTTTGTCTGCCTTCCCTGGCAACTGATGAAGACTACGGCGGAGCTGCATTCCAAAGCTGCTTCTGTGTGGTGCAAACACCACATTCATCACTGCTAGAACCTGGACTCACACAAGTGCAGGGAGGACCCCGCCCCACCCAGCAGGCATTTCGAATGCCATGGTCTATATCTAGTTTCCAACTTGTCTGCGGCTGAGACACTTCCCCACTGCAGCGATACACAGCAAAGGTACAATGACCCATCCTGGAAGACCAGTCATGACCAAACACCCAGCCAGCAACAAGTCGCTTTCATTCTCCTCCTCTCAACACTGTCACCAGCCAGGGGGACACACTACGACAAGCAGAGCCAGCCCAGCAACCTAAGGCTCCTCAATCCTGTTAACACAAGGCTTGCAATAAGGAGACTGGTGTTGGGCACAAGTACAGTGAAGACCTTTTTCAGTCTCTGAAGAAAAAAAAAATAACAAATAGCCCCCTATTTATGACCTCACGTGTACACTTAAGTCACACATATGCGGCTGGGCGTTGGTGGTGCACGCCTTTAATACCAGCACTCGGGAGGCAGAGGCAGGCTGTGAGTTCGAGGCCGGGCTGGACCAACAGCCTGCATACAGAGAAACCCTGTCTCGTAAAACCAAAAAAAAAAACAAAAAAACAAAAAAAAAAAAAACCACACACACACACACACACACACACACACACACATGCTTACAATTATGGACATATGACCCAAACCCATGCATATTATCCCAGGTTGTTCAAGAGCCGCCTGTCAGCGAGGGTACGGGCTGCTGCATACCCTCCCTGGGGCTCCGCCCTCCCTGGGAAAGAAGCTGCAGCCCGTTCCACGTGTTTGCTACAGCTCACTCCACACCCTGGAGTGTGTTCTCCGTCTTTACTTCTGCTCTTCTCTTACTCAACCCTCCTGTCTGAGACACAGAGAAGCTAGACATGGAGTCACAGAACCCTGAGACCCCCTGAGGTAAGAGACATACTGCAAAACTAGGCTGGGCTCAGTGGCAGCGTATGCAAGGCCCTGGCACACGCCTTCAGGTGCTTCCTCCTCTCGGGTTAAAAACAATTACAGGCTACATTTTCATCATCTCCTTGACAACTTTTTTGTTTGTTTTAGAAGACAGTGTTTCTCTGTGTAGCCCTGGCTATCCTGAATCTCGATCTGTCAATCAGGCTGGCCTTGAACTCACAGAGATCCGCCTGCCTCTGCTTCCCCAGTGCTGGGACTAAAGGTGTGCACCATCACACCACCTACCCCCCAACCCACAACACAGAGACCAGCATCACAGGCCCCGTGGCTGCTCCACAAGAGGGCGATGTGCACAGCCCCACAGAGCTTGCCCAGGTCCTCAGAGGAGAGCCGGTACTGTTTTACCTTTTATAGAAATGGAAGCGTTCTGTGAGGAGCAGAAATTGCTTCTCTCCTTGGAGGAAGAAATGCCGAGCCCTGGAGACCCCAGACTTCTGTGTATACTCGCAGATGTGTGTGAAGTTCAGCTCTTCCTTCTTGAAGTAGTTTCGGAGACGCACAAAGTCAAAGTAGGAGGGGACATAGATGAGCGTGTGGGACATGACGGCATCCCGGTACTGAGGCAAAATCTTGTTTATGAAAAAGTGAAACCTGATTAGGAAAGGCCAAGGACAAGGTTAAAAGTCTAAGCTGAACCTAGAGTAGGCAGTAATAGTGTGGGCAGCAAGCCACAACCTGAAAGATCTCGACGCCAAAGGCTAACTTCTTTTCAGAGACTATGTAAGGATAAAACTTAATAGCACATAGAAAACGAGGAGCTCACGATAAGTGTAACAGCAGAAACAGTGCTGTATATACCAGAGAATTAGTGCAGCCCACTCCACACTCCTCATTCACTCAACAACACGCAAGCCCTGCCTGTCTGCCTAGCACATACCAAGCACCACAGGCCCATGTGTAGCACATGCTAAGCACCACAGGCCCATGTGTAGCACATGCTAAGCACCACAGGCCCATGTGTAGCACATGCTAAGCACCACAGGGCTACAGAGGGCAAACATGGGGAGAATTAGACAATCAGCTCTTCTCTGAAGGGCTTACAGATAAGTGGAATGAGAGTGTATCACAGCTCACAGCAGCATGGAGTAATTTTCCAATGGTATGGAGTGTATTATATCACAGCCCACAGCAGCACAGTGTGATTCTGCAATGACATGGAATGTATCACAGCCCACAGCAGCATGGTGTGATTCTGCAATGGCAGGGAGTGTATCACAGCCCACAGCAGCATGGTGTGACTCTGCAATGGCAGGGAGTGTATTATATCACAGCCCACAGCAGCATGGTGTGATTCTGCAATGGCAGGGAGTGTATCACAGCCCACAGCAGCATGGTGTGATTCTGCAATGTCTCAATCAAGGTGCCAGGAGCACAGGCTTCAGTCCCGAACTTGCCCCTAGCTCAGAGACTGAGGCCAAGCCCCCATTTCTCCCCGGCTTGACTCCTTCTCTGGCATGGTTGAGTTCAGGTCTGGAACCCAACTTGATAATCAGTTAATTCCTAAAAGCTAGAGTCCAGTGCTAAACATGCAGGCAAAACCAGATCTCTCTGAGGCCTATGGGTGTGGGTAGGGTTACCTGGCATCAATCACTGAAGAGAGGTCTTGGGCTTCCATCCTCTGGAAGACATGTGGGAGCTGCACCAGCACGTGACTGATGGAGCCTGTCATGGGGACATTCCTCACGGCCACCTGCCAGGAGGCAAAAACTTTAGGCAGGCGTCCTTTGCCGATCACACACCATCAACTCTTCCAGTTCACGACCCAAAGGGACACAGGACTCACCTGGCCTTGGGCATTGACACAGTGCTTGTTGAACACAGAGTTGATCTGGGCATCCTGCAGGGCACCGAAGAGCAGGGTCTGGCGGTAGTACCTGGACCAGTTGTTGAGGCTCCACATGCGTACGCGAGAAAAGTCCACCCCATGGGAGTCCAAAGGAAGCAGGTTCATGTGGTTCATCAAATGCTTGCAGGAGAAAAGCAACGCCGCCGTCAGCGTCTATCTACTGAGCATGTGTGTTGGGCACCATGAGCATTTATAACCAACCCATCATCTCCTTAACCCCATGGAGGATGTATTACCACCTCCTAGAGATGGCAGAAAAGGCTCAGATGGCGACCTGCTCAAGGGTAGCTGAGCACTCAGAGGAAGGAAACAGGCTAGCCACTGGAGCACTCCTTTAAAGGGGTTTTTAGAGATAGGCGTGGTGGGGTACCATGAGTCAGGAGGACCCGAGGCCAGTACCGCTTACACAGTGAGTTTGACACAGCTTAGGCTACAGTGAGTGAGGCTGTCTCAAAGACCAAAGGAACTACTGACGGGACCAGTGGGAGGGCACATGGGGTGAACAACACACATGCATGACAGCACGTGTCACGTGGAACCCAGTGCTTTATATGTTAACACATGACAAAGTACAACACACATGCATGACAGCACGTGTCACGTGGAACCCAGTGCTTTATATGTTAACAGAGAAAAACCAATAATAAAAACAGAAAGCGCAGAGAACAAGGCTCACACAGAAAGGAACTTGGGAAATGCAGACTGGCCGCTCTTGGGGCTGCTGTCCCAGACTTGGACAGAAAGAGAAGCCACAATGGAAACAGAACCTCTGCCCTTCTTCACTGGCTCTCATAACATCAGTGACAGGGATGGCTTAGTGACAGACTCTCGCTGACCTTGTCCAAGGCCCTGTGTTTAATTCCCAGCATGGCAAACAACAGAAACTAAGCCAAAGCCCTAGTGGCCCGAGTTGTGGTACCTGCTCTTCCTCAAATTAAAGAATATGGCAGCCATCAACAGACCTTTCCTGCATAAACTCAACCTGGCCTGGAATACAGTAGTCCAGTCTGGCCAGGAACGCGCTGTAACCCTCCTGCTTCAGCCTCCCCCGAGACAGGCTTACAGGTGTGAGCTACGAACCTGGTTTTCCTTGTCCATTTCAGCTGCAGGTTAACACACTGCATGCAGAACACACTCCAAGGGTCATGAGTACTACAAGCTTTTTTCCACAACTATCAACTAAGTGCCCTTGATGTATCCCAAACTTCCCATAAGACTCCAAGTTCTTAGGTGGAATCAGAGGTGAGCTGTCATCTGCCTTAAGAATATCACAGCTCTGTGATAAGAATAGTTCCACAGTCTTTACATCCTACAACCAAGAGCACCCCACTGTATGGAGGAAACAAACTAGAGCGTGAAGAAAGTCTTCCCATAAACGAGGTCCTTTGTAAGTAATGCTAGTCAGGGCCAAAGCGGCACAGCAGGTAAGAACACATGCGGTTCTTCCAGAGGACGCATGGTAGATTCCTAGAACCCTGTCAGGCAGCTCACACCACCTGTAACTCCAGGTCCTGGGGATAGATGCTTTGGCGCACACACACACACACACACACACGCAAAGAAAGAAAAAGACAAACTACAAGAAATACTAGGCAGTTGGGTATGATGCATGTCTATAATCCTAGCACTCCAGATGTTGAGGCAGGAAGACAGGGTTTAATTTAAGGACAGCCTGGGCTACATAGCAAGCCCCTGCCCTCTCCAAAAAGAAATGTTATGCTATGTTTTCCCATCTTGACTGAGAACCGCGTGAGGGCTTGCATGATAAATGGGTTCTTGGTGAGGATTTCTTTCCTTCCTTCTTTCTGTCCATCACCTATCCTTACTAGAAAGAGACCTTTTAGAGGAAGAAGTCTTTTTGGGAAAACCTGAAAACACTGACAGGAACTCCCCCCTCTCTGGGTGGCTTAATAATTGGCTGCCCTATTGGTAGAAGAACAAAACAATTCCATAAACTGAAAGACATAGAGTAACTTCCCACTTCTAAATCAAGGAGTTACAGCCCCTCTGAGACACAGCAGTCATTACCAAGACATGCTCCCAGTTCTGCATGAGGTAAATGTCAGCCTGGTCGATGATGAGCAACTCAACAGAAGACAGGAAATCAAAGTCTCTCTTCTTCTCTCCTTCTCCACCAATGATGGTTCTCAAGCCCAGCGGGGAGGCGATGAGGATGTCGGAGGAGTAAAAGGGGGCATAGAGACGAATGCTCCTCTGAAGTATTGCCACCCCTGGAAAACACCGTTGGTCAACACCCATGCCAGCCTTCATGCTGATTCCTAGGCCGAGCTTCCTTCAAAGTACAAACCTTAACTTCTTAATTCCTAACCATGTCAGTCATGCCACAGACACTCAGTAAATGTTTGTGAATGAGGCCCAATGTCACAAACTTTCCCCAGAACTTACAAAGATAAACAGCTGAGTTAATACAAGCACAGACACGAAGGCTTGGTGGGTATCCAAGGTTGGGTTGGCACCCTATAGACACACAGGATGGAGATCCAGTCTCCTTGGAGTGACCCACCCTGTGTCTGTGATTCCCCACTCTCTGAGAAGCCTGAGTGTGATATGCACGAACTGCAGCCAAACCATTTCCTCACAAGGCCTTTCTACACTGTCTTGGAGTCTGCACCTACCAGCCAAGGCAAGAATCCTGTCCCTGGCAATCAGGAGGTCTCAAGAGCACCCAGTTCTAGAGGACTGAGTCAGGACCCCTTCAGCTTCCCCAAGGGCTTCCACCTCAACAGGGGGCATTACCAATCCTGAAGTGGTCATCAATGTTGCCCACGAACACAGCTTCATAATCCTCGGGCCTCTTCAGGTTGGGTGGTCTCTCCTCAGGATCCGAGCCATACTCCCCCTGAAACCTCTTTTTGTTGCTTACAATGATTTTCTTCTTGCTGTCCCCCTCTAGGAGGCTGATGAAGAGTTGGACCACCCGAAGGGCAGCTTCTCGAAAGGGCACCACTATAAGCACCTGGAAGGAGGGCGGGGAACAACAGGTCAGAGGTAAGATCTGTGCAAAAGGCCTGACTCAGCACCAGAAAGCTAACGCGTCCTGCGAACTTTAGTCCCATGGCTCCATGGGAGATATTTCTCAAGCAAAACTGGGAAATACCTTTCAGTATAAGGCAATGCCTGCAACAGCAGCAGAGACTCAAGGGCAGACATACAGGAGTCTTTGAGGGTCCCACAGGCTCACATTTGAACACCTGCTCCCCAGTTGGTGGCACTGTTTGGGAAGGATCAGGAGGTGTGGCCTTGTTGGAGGAGCTGCCACTGAAGGTGGGCTTTAGGTCTCAAAAGCCTCCTGCCATTCTGTGTGCCTCTCTCTCAGGATCTTACTTGAGGATGAGACCTAAGCTCTAAGTTGTTCCAGCTGCCGTCTTCGGTCCACCCTCACACACTCTACCCCTCTGAAACCACGAGCCCAATTAAATGATTCCTTTTATATGTTGCCAATCATGGTGTTTTGTTACGCCAATAGAAAAGCAACTAAGAGACTGAATAAGAAAAAATACAGAGAAGGATTAGCACACCATTATTTTCCTAGTATATTCTCTAGAACGATTTTTGAAACCATTAATGACACACTTCTGAGTTGAAAAAAATGGACTCAATTTTCCAAGCCTTTTAAAAATACTTACAGATGGTACCCGAGAGATGATTCAGTGGTTTGGACAATTGTTGCTCTTGCAAGGACCAGACTTTGATTCCTAGCAACCATATCATGACCCACACCATCCTAACTCCAGTTCCCAGGGATGCAGAGCCCTCTTCTGACTTTCACAGGCACCAGGCATGCACGCGGTGCACACGCATACATGCATACACACATACACATAAAATTAAATAAATCTAAAAACAAATGCAAAGTTTCTGTTGAGTGGGAAATCAGAAGATGCTTAACAAAGAGCTCATTTCTAACTACCTGCCATTCTTGTTCATGTAAAGAACACAACAGTATGACTCCAGTCAAACCAGGAGATTCCAGTCACAAGCAGGGCGATCTGCCCAATCTCCTACAGTGCACAACAGAGACAGACAGCCTCAATGTCATGTCCATGCATCCTGAGGCAGCCTCCTAGAAATGTAACCAGCTGGCCAAAAGAGTAGGTAATTTGCCCTGTAAGCCAGTCCAAGATTTAAGAGGCCGGATTACCGTCCTGTTGGTTCCACTAAGTAAGTGTCTATACTTTGTTCCCCCAGCCATCAAAAGTCCCCACTAAAAAATCTTTTAAGAGTCACAACTGTATCTACTCCCTTAAATCCTGTTGGGCTCAATGGGCATCTGGAAGCATGAGCTTCTGCGGGGAGACAGGGAGCAAGTGGGAGAGCAAGGCCTGGCTCCTCTCGCGGCATCATAAAAGACACGGACACAAGTAAATCCATTTCCTTTCCCGCTAGAGCCTCAAACGCACCAGATGTCAGGCTAAGAGCACAAGTATACAGAGTCATCCCTGTAAGCAGCAGGAACTTCACAGCAGAAACGGGGACCGATGTCTTGGTGAAGAGCCCAATTCTAGTCCATCTCTGCTAATCTTTCCCCCATTCTCTTTAGCAGGGTCTTCTGGGAATCTGGGTCTGCCCATGGCTGTCACATGTACGGAGCAGATAAAACTCACTTAAGATACCAGTGAGCGGAAAGCCACCAGGAAGAGTCCACACCCAATGGGATGCTTATGTGTGCCACGGGTTCATCGCTGAGAGCGTCTGAAGCCCCGTCCCTGTCCTGCACTGCCTGGCTCGATCAACTGCTCATATGAGGATTCTCTAACCAGTCAGCTGTCCACACGCTCATGACTCAGTAGTGCCTCCCAGCCTCCTTGAGGACAAAGCTGCCGCCACTCACCTTAGGCCTGGTTAGCCCTTGGTCCCTGAAGTCGTCATCATCACCCACCCCAAATTTCTGGCTCCGGCGCCTGCTGTTGTTAGCCAACACTTGGGCATTGGCTTTGAGGACGTGGTTTATAGCATGCAGGCAGTACACGTGGCGGACCTCTTCTCCATTCTTCAGGGCAGTCCTCTCTGGGTAGAACAGGTCCCGGTAAGAATTCATAATTAAGAACAGTTCTTTCTGGAGTGGGGTAAAGGGGCTGTTTGATTTTTGAGGACCAGAGAGAAATTGGCTATTGGTTTTTTTCCAGGTGGACTCTAGAGGCTTCTGAAGATGAAGTGACTTCATGTCGACATCCTTCGGAGGTTTAAATGTTTCCATCTTCTGGAACTTTGATGAAAAGACAAGCTGTCCCAGGACGGGCCACTAGGGGTAGACAGATCAAGAGCTAGGTTAGGCACGAGTAACAACCCTGGACACGCACACGGTACTCGAAGATTCACAGATCATCCCATCTGCTCCCTGTAGGAGGAAGTCTGATGCCGCTTTTCTGGGCGCCTGGATCCGGATTCCAATCCCGCTCCCGACACCAAGTTTTGAGAATTCCACGCCCCCTCTCCCTACTATTGATTATTATAAGATAGTTTACACCTGTTAGTGTTAGTTTTCAATTATTTTAGAGTTGGGATTGGAAGAAGGTGTTCATATCTGGGTGTTTCTTTCAGATAAGTTTAGGTTTAGATAGAAGTTTGATACATTTTGTTCATGGACACAAGTTAGTTGTCCTTTTTTAGACCAAAAGGGGAATTGTAGGAGGAAGTCTGATGCCGCCATTAAACATGTGACTTATTAGAGGCGCATACAGATGAGGTAATAAAAGGGCGGTTTACCACACCGCTAACCACACCCACTTTAGGCTGGACGTAAAGACATATACGTACGTAGGCGGAACTACGTCACTAGCCAGGCCCACTTTTGGGCATGGCTAGGGGCGTTACGGGGGGAAGGCATAAAAGACAGCACACAGGAAGTCTCGGTCTCTTTTCCTGGAGTTCGGCTTCCGGTCCGGCCGCTAGCTGAGAACGTTTTGGCTCCTCTGGGTTTGGTATCTTGTGAGTAATTTTCTACATTAAATACTTAGCTTTACTGTCAGTAATTGGGTGTCGCGTATCGTTACAGCGTCCATTTAGCCTACAGCTCCCCACCCAGCCCAGCTGGGTAGGTGCCACACACACTCCAGAGCAGGGAATGCTAGGCCTCACAAAGGCAAGAGGGTCCAGACAACAAGGACACAAGAGGTGTGCAGCTTGGAGTCTGAGCTCTACCTCTGGTGTCCCCCTCACTATCTATCCTGAGGACCAGGTCTGGGAAGAATCAAAATCCCTTGGCAATGTGCTGTGCCACAAGGAGTGACACTAAAGGCTCTGCCTTGTCCCGGGACTGATTCATCCCTGCCTCCCTTCACCTCCACCGCTTCCGGTTTTTCTCTTTTCTTTTTTAGGTATGCCCAGTAGAGCATCAAGGGATTCTACTTTGTAAGATACGTGTGTAGTAGCCGGGCGTTGGTGGCGCACGCCTTTAATCCCAGCACTAGGGAGGCAGAGGCAGGTGGATCTCTGTAAGTTCGAGACCAGCCTGGACTACCAAGGGAGTTCCAGGACAGCCTCCAAAGCCACAGAGAAACCCTGTCTCGGGAAAGAAAAAAAAAAAAAAAAAGATACGTGTGTAGAAATTCTTCACTATAGAAAAATTGCTGATCTAAAATTAGAGCAACGTTAGCAATAAAAGCCACGAGCCACAGACACAGAGCGGCATGGGTGACTCTCCAGGGAACTGGGCTGCATGAAGCAGCTGGGGGCAAAGGCCCCAGCCTGGGTGACTCCAGTTACTCGGCAGTGAACCCACAAGCTCCCAGAAGCAGAGATGAGCTCAGGAGGTTAAGGGATTAGGAGTGAGGAATCTGAGAGGAAGCAGACAAGGTAAAAAGAGTAACAGAGCCAGGCATGGTGGGGCACACCACACCTTTAGTCCCAGCACTGACTGGGGAGGCAGAGGCAGACAGACCTCTTGTGATTTGAGGCCAGCCTGGTCTACACACCAAGTTTCAGGCCTGCCAGGACTACACAGTGAGACCCAGTTGATAAGACGCATGGTGCTGGATTGTTCCACACCCTACTGAGCTGGTGGAAATGGGATCCTACAAGACAACACTTTACAGAGAACCCGAGTCTAGGGACGCAAGGCCATGGTAGGCAGAGTAGTTGGCCTTGAATGCCTGAGTTCCAAGCAGCAATAAATGGCATCTGTGTCCACTTTCTGGTTGTGATACTGTACTCTGCTACCTGCTACCAGGGGCAAAATCGGGCAAAAAAAAATTTCAGTCTCTGGCTGACTTCTTACACCTGCACATGTAGCTACAAAATCAAAACAGGGGGAAGTCAACTAGACCATGTACGGTGTCACACCCATAACACCAACACTTGGGAGGCTGAGGCAGAGGAGTGACACGAGCCCAACGTCTGGCAAATGAAACTCACTATGGATAATATATGCCAACAGACCAAAGATCCCAGCTGCTGTGGGACTTTCCTCCATGCCTGGGAATCCACACGGCACTTACTTTCATCTGCTGGGTAGTTGGAGCGCTTGAAGCGGCGGCTTGAACTTCCTTTTCTTTCAGCTCTTTGCTGACATGTTGTTGAAACGGATCTAGTTGAGAACAGAGCAGTGAACACAGGGAACAGCGGCAGGGCTTTCTAGTCTGAGAGCGACACTCGTCTCTCATCACCTCTGAAAATGACGTGTTCATCTCTAGTCCCTGCTGAGACCAACATGCTGACCTCCCTGGTATCAACCCGCCCCTCTCCCCCAGCAACCGAAGAGTGCCTGGCAAGCTGACCGCGACATCCCAGCCCGAAGCTGCGCTTCAACTCACCTCCTACACAACCCTAAGTTCTGCTTCTGAGCCTTTCCCTTTACACCCAAAGTCCTGTCTCCTCTCTCACCTGCAGGTTACTCCCTCACGGAGCAGTGCCGCGTGGGGGTCGGCTGTGTCAGGCGCAGCACTGCTCCCCCTGGAGAGTCACACTCTAGCACCTACCAAGGCTCGACAATTCAAGCCAGCCAGCACGGGTTCCTGGCTATCTGGTACATGGCAAGACTTCGGAGAGCGGGCTCCATGCGCAGCGATGGAGGGCTGGGGAAGAATGAGCCACTCTCACCTTGGGAGGCTCTCTGGGAAGTGCTGCTGCCTCCACTGTCCTCTTCCAGGAAATTGGTTTCCAGGCTGAACAGTGACTCATGTTTCGCATCTGTGAACTCCTCTGAGGATTTCTGTGACGTATCAGGAGGCCCTTCCCCATCTTCTTCTTTGGGGCCATCAGCTAGGGACAGACCTGAAATGTTGAAAACCATTTCGTAAAATTATCCAGGGTGTGGCAGAGCTCTGTGAGGTCAACCTGGTCAACCTCGATTTCCAGAGAGCCAAATCTAGAGAGTGAAACCCTGTCTCAAAAATAAACAATTTACTCATACGTAAATGTTGACAAAATCAAATTAAAACACTAATGCTCACTGCTATTGTTTATTTGTTTTGTTTTTTTTCAGGGCAGGGTTCCTCTGTGTAATTCTGGCTGTGCTGGATCTCACTTTGGAGACCAGGCCTACCTCTAAATCACAGATTCACCTGCCTCTGACTCCCAAGTGCTGGAATTATAAAAACACAGGTGTGCACCACCTCATCGGGCATTATTTTTAAACAATAATCAGGTAATTCACAAAGGAGGTGACCTTTCAGAATTAAGCCTGACCATAGACCTGGGTGATGAAGTCAGTCATTAGCTAAGCTGGACAGCAAACCTGGAGGTGTGTGCTTGAACGATACTTGGGATATTATTAGATTAAATTCATGTTCCAGTTGGTGGACTTCCATCAGGAAGCAAATGACTATTTTATGTTTTGAGACAGGCAGGGTCTTCTGTAGTTTAGCCTTGCTGTTAGCCCACTACCCGCTCAGGATGGCCCTGAACCTCTGATCCTCCTGGGAGTTAAGATTACAGCCATGCCCCATATTAGCCTAGCATGTGCAGGACTGGAGACAGAGTCCAAGGCTCTGTGCACGCCAGGGAGACACTGGGCTATGTCCCGGTCTCCCACGGTGTGGGGGGCCTCCTCCTATTTCTGGAAAGTCTGAGCAAACACAGAAGGCTGGCCTGCCCTGAGAGGAAGACTTCCGGAAGACTGCCTCTGAACTCCAGCTATAACAGAGCCCCGGGTCTCCTGGGGCTCTCCTGTTTGACTGATTGCCTTTAGACCTGAAGCATTTGAAGTCTATTAGACTCAGACTTGCCAATTCCTTAAAATAGATTCTATCATAATGAGGAATCACTCTGAAGAATTCTAACATACCCAGTTCTATAACTTACTCTAAAATAGTACACCAAGAGACACATGAAAAAATGTTCACAGCAATCTGAATTATAAGAAATAAAAGAACAAATGTCTGTCAGAGGAATATTCAACACCGAATGCTATATATCCAAGAAATCAATGTGAATCCATAGTTATGTTACATAGAGAAAGGTCCAGGCTGAGAACAGAACTCAGCACAGAGCACAGGTGTGAGACATTAGGCTCAACCCCCAGTGCAGCAAATATGCTACAACAATAAAAAGAAAGGACAAAATTACAAAACATCCACAGTATCTTACTAAAGAAGCAAAATGCAGAAATTTAGGAGTCCATCACATGCATACATGCGAGTATCCATGTGTGTGTGTATATATATATATATATGTAAACCCATATACAGAAAACAAAGACTATAGATGTAATATTAAAGGTATTCAGACGAGAACCTCCAACCTCTACCTTCACCAAGGGCTAAATCAGAGGTGTGTACCACTGCACCTGATTTTACGTGGTGTTGGAGATAAACACAGAGCTTTGTTTACCCAAGGCAAGCATCCAACTGCTGTGCTACAACCTCAACCTTTTCAGATTCCTGTAGTAAATATGCAGTATGTTTATAATTCAAACAACAATGACAGCAACAACAACGCCTCTTTTCCTCTAAAAAAAAATAATTTAAATGGAAAGAAAACCAGAACTAAGGACCTACAAAAACATATGAATTTCAGCAATGTATGTTTTTGTTCTTCAAAACAGGGTGTTACTATGTAGCTCTGGCTGTCCTTGAACTCACAGAGATCCGCCCACCTCTGCCTCCCAAGTGCTGGGATTAAAGGTGTGCGCCGCCACCGCCCAGCCACACTCCGTCTCTTACTGAAGGGGAACCCTCTTCAGTGAACTGAGCTGTCACAGTGACAAGAGTAAGCTCCTGTGACAAGTCAGGCAGTCTTACGTCAGGCTAGAAGAAATCCCCTAAAGAGTAAGCCAATAGCATTTTCCTGAGAGGGTCTGTGTTCCCAGCAGATTCTTAAAATGTAACGGAACTCAACAAATCTCTGCTTTGGAGCCAAATGCTCTCACTCAGCCCACACAGCACAGGACACTGTGTCCTGGCAAAGAGGACAGGCCAACCCCGAAACACTCACGCTCCTGTGTGTCAGCCGTCTCTGCTGTTTCCTCTCCCACGCTGACATCTTCATCACCATCTTCATCGTTCATTTCTTCTTCACCTACGGCGCTGTCCTCTTCCTCCTCTTCCTCTTCCTCCTCCTCCGAAACATTCTTTAGTGTAGCAAGCAGCCTGTGGTACCCTGAAATGTGCTCTTGCTCACTCTCAGATTCACTTTCAGAATGTGAAGTATCTGAACTCTCTGACTAAAGGAAAATGGGAATGTTTTTAAAAACAAAATGATATGGTTTTTATTGCCACACTAAAAAAATAAAATAAAATGTGATACATACAGATTAATTGAATTTCCTTAGCCTTAAAGAAGGAAATTATGTCACATGCAAGGAAATGGGTAGGATGGGAGACACTTAAGTAAAACTAAGAGAGACTAAAGGCAGACCATGTTTCCTCTTGCACAAGGAAACCAGATTTCAAAGAACCCAGAAGTCATGAAGAGGTAGCAGACTGAGGGCCATGAATGGGTGGTATGACCAAATAATTATGCCTGGAAATTCTGTATAATGAGTACATACTAATTAAAAAGGAAACAAAAGCCCAGTGAGTTTTTCTGAAAATACTACTACACAATCTCATCTCCTTAACCAAGCCCAGCATGAAATTTACATAAAACAGTTAACCAAGCTACCGTCCACATTAGCTTCACATGGAATGCAAAAACTGATTTTTCAAACGGAACCCTAGGCTATGGGCTTTGTTAGGCTTCATGTTTCAAGGTGCAAGAGGAAAATCACAAATGAGTGCCGTGGTCTCCACTTTACACGGTGTGTGAATACTTTCTTGGTGAGTGCACCGTGGACACACTTTCCAACGGAGGTTCACAGCATAGCGTCACGGGGTAGTCTCCAACTCGGGCTTCTCTTGTCACACGGTAATTTTTACAGCCGTCTATCCCCATCGTTTAAAACTAGCTAAGTCACCTTACTAAAATCACAGCTTAGATCCCAAACAGAAAAACACAGGAACGTACCCAAGCTTTACTTTTACACACACTCTTAAAAGCTAACAACCCCAATTCCAACCACTATAAAGGGAAAAAAAAGCATTACCAGCTGACAAATCTGTGGCTTTGCCTCCTTTTTGGAAACCCTAAGGAGGAAAAAAAAAAAGATGTCAAACTTCAGCTGCTAATCTGTAACGATCGCCAACAGGCCTAATGCCTCTGCATGAATACACGATCGTAACCAGTCACTGTAAAAAACATTCTTGCATGCACAAGGGGCGAAGACGACCGGAGGACAAACGGGCAACAGGCGAGTGAGTTCAAGAAACCACACATCGGGGTTCGCCTCTCTTCATGCCCTGGCTGGTCTGAGCTCCCCTGCCTCGGCCTCAGTCCCCGCGAGCCGGGACAGCACCATGGCTGCCTCTGCAAGTCTACCTGCAGGGTGCACCTCCGCAGCGGGGCGCCCGGCTCGCACAGACCCCGCTCCCCCACAACCGGCTCGCACGGATCCCGCGCCCCCAGAACCGGCACGCACCGATCCCGCGTCCCTTCCCCGGGACCGGATCGCACCGATCCCCGCTCCCCCGCCCGGAACCGGCTGGCACCGACCCCCGCTCCCCACCCACGGAACCAGCTCGCACGGATCCCGCGTCCCTTCCCCGGGACCGGACCGCGCGCGATCCCCGCTCCTCCGCCTGGAACCGGCTGGCACCGACCCCCGCTCCCCACCCACGGAACCAGCTCGCCCCGATCCCGCTCCCCTTCCCGGAACCAGCTCGCACGGATCCCGCGTCCCTTCCCCGGGACCGGCTCGCACCGACCCGCACGCCCCCCTCCCCGGAACCGGCTCGCCCCGACCCCGCGCGCCCCGGACCTGTCGTAGAAGGGGTGCTCCTCGCCGAAGTCGCGGAGGTGCTTCTTCTGCTTCTTGGTCATGGTGCTGAGTAGCTGGCTCCGGCCGCGGCTCCGGCGTTTGCCCATAGCGGCGGGACCGTCGAAGCTCGCTCGCAGACAGACGCGCCAAGGCTCCCAGCCGGAAGATGCCGCACGCGGGCGCGCCGGCGTGACGACAGAGGCCGGTGCCGTAAAGCGGAGCTGCTTTGCGTCCCGCGAGCACGACGGGAGGGCGTCACACCCTGCGCGTCTCGGTGCTGCCCCCTACCGGGAGCGCGTGGGAGAGCGCCTGCGCATGCGTGCTCGGGAAACCGGTCTTTAGGGCTTGGCGTGGTAGTGGAGTGGCTTGCTTGCTTTGTGGTGATCGTTTTCCCTTCTTGTAGTTTTTATTTGGGGGTGGCGGGGGTGGGTGGCCTTACCCTCAGGAGCGAAGATCTGAACCCGGGACCCCGCGCTGCTTCCTGTTGGGATGGGGGGGCGGGTCAGCCTGTGTCGATGTATGCACGCAGAAATGCAGAAATGGTTGTGCCAGGCAGAAAATGACCACTGACGACACACTGTCCGAACCGGACTTGTGAATCAATCTGATGAGGCAGATTGGAAACCGATGCTTAGTAAGAAAGGGGAGGTGGGTGGTGGTGGTGCAGGCCTTTAATCCCAGAGGCAGGTGGGTCTCTGAGTGCAAGGCCAGCCTGGTCTACAGAGCGAGGTATCTGTCGAGTTCCAGGACAGCCAGAACTGTTACACATAGAAACCCTGCCTCGAAAAACCTAAAATAAATAAATATGCCACTGCTCTTTTGGGAGTGTTGAGGAGAGCCTATGGAAAAAAAAAAGCATCTTTCCCGACATTCTTTAACAAAAACGGAAACACATTAGATAAACTAGCATCTTGCATGCATTATCACCAAAACGAGTCAACGTATACTTTTAAATTTAATATGTTTTAGTGTAATAACCTAAACGGGCTAGGGGTAGGGTGCTTGGCCAAGGTACTTCACAAATTCTGGGGTTTTATTCCTCGACACCAAATAAAGCTAAACAAACCCACACACCAAATAAACAAGCCGGGCATGGTGACTCATGCCTGTAATCTCGTGGAGGCTGGGACAAGAGAATGGGCAGTTGTAGACCTTTATTTAAGAAAATAAAATTAGCCTGGCATGGTGGCGCACACCCTTAATCCCAGCCCTTGGGAGGCAAAGGCTGCAGATCTCTGTAAGACCTTACCACTCAAAAAATAAAATTAAATAACAATAGGAAAGTGGGCAGACAGGGCTGAGGCCTGTCCTTCAGGGACACACAGCAACAGTGATGCTGTTTGAGACCACGCAAGACACACTAGCTGAAGTTCAAAGAAAACGAAGAATGAATGTCAGCACTGAGCCCGGACTCAAGGTACAGCAGGAGACACTGAAGCATGTTTCATGTCTCCCTGGAAGAGCAGTCAGGCCTCCTCACTCAGTTGCACGTCCGTCCCAGGGTCACCTGTTAATTATAATTAAATGGGGGGAGGGAGATGGGGCAGAGCAAGGGATATCAAAAGCCATGCAAACAGAAAGGGCGGTGGCCAGCAGCTGGCCTGGCCAAGTGACCCATTAATAGACATCTGTCTTCTGTCTAGTTGAAAGGTAAAATGTATAGTCACTTAAATAAATAGAAGGCTGTTTTCAAAGTGTCCTCACAGGTTTTATGGCTCTGGTCACAGTGTAACCTGGCTCTATCTAGTATCTTTTCACTGCATTCCAGGCGCCGGCCCCCCTACCCCTTACCCCACCCTCCACCCCCTCCCGTCCCCCCCCACCCCACCCCCATTCCCAGACGTGCAGTTTCTTGTCCTTCTAGGGATCTCAAATCGGTGACCCTCACTCCTACCTGGTTTCCCACATACAAGTTTAGACCGTTCCCCAGTGTAGACAAACATTCATCCAGTCTCCAGTGAAACAGTCTGAGCATTGGCTTGCTGAACATTGGAAAGCAAGCCCCTTCGTCCCCCAAAATACTGATATTCACCTTCAACAAGGAGATCCTATGTGACTATAACCTGATAGCTAAGGACTTAGTCATGTCTCTGTGCCTCTTGTAGAAGCACGCACACACGCATGCACACATGCACGCACGTTCTTCCCTGGGAAGTTTTAACAAGACATTTTTTTCCCTTCTTCCTACTCTAAGAACTCATTTTCTCTCCCCTAGGATATTCTTTTTACGTATTCAAAGTCATGCAGTCTCTTAGGAGTTAACGATCATTCAGGAAATAATCTTCTATATTACTGTACAAAGAGTTGCTAATGGATTTATATGTTACTCTTCCTGGACTGTTTGAAGTTTACATATGACTCTAGGCTAACAATTGAGGTGTGGGAAAAGGATGAGAATGTTCCTTAGAAGAGCATCAGGATATTTAGGAAGCTTTAGTAATTTAAAAGAAAAAGAGGTTCCAGGGGAAATGTCAAATACAATCAATGCAAAACTTGACAAAAGGATGTAACAGACTTCACACTCCTGATGCTCAGCCTCAGGAATTATCCATTCAAGACTGTCTATCCCATTCTGTATTTTGAAGCAAATTGTAGGAATAATTTAATCTGCAAGTATTTATTATACTTGTGTAAAACACAATAAGGGCATTATTTTATCTAATAACAACATTATCCTTTAAAACACATTGGTCATCATTCAGATTTCTAATTATCTCATAAATACCACATCATTTTTTATTTCTATACTCTGGTTTAATGAATCCTGTAGCACTCTGTATTTCTCAAGAGTTGGTGTTGCATATGAAAACTGATCAGATGTATAGACTCAGTATTGTTTCTATTATAAGGAGGATAACTGATTTCCTTTCTTTTTATGGTTTAAACAAACATGATGCATAATCTAAATTCTTTGTGTGGACCTTGCAAATGTCTCACTGGGGAAGATGTTTACTGCCAAGCCAGACAATCTGAGTTTGATTCCAGGCACTCACACAGTAAAAGGAAAGAACCAATTCCTGGAAGTTGTCCTCTAACCTGCACGCACACACACACACACACACACACACACACACACACACACACACACACACACACGTTTGTGGCCCTATCTAGCAGTCCTTTAACATACAGTTGTACACCGAATTATACAAACACCGTTTTTCCACACACAGTCTCATCCTGTCTTTCAAGAGTACTGACATAATTTATTCACATCAACTCACAAAATTATGAAATATGCTTAGTTACCCATTCAGAAATATTTACCTTGCCTTGTGCCAGGTGCTATGCCAGCAGATGAAGCAAGGATAAGATCCATAGCAGCCTCCTCAGGGAGTGCTCTGTGTTGTCTGTGTTCAGAGAAGCATGAAGATGGTCACAATTTGCTGTGATAAATGGGGACACTTGGAGTCCCATCACGATGAGCAGCTGTTGATCAGGGCATCCACTGAACTGTCTGTAGAACATCCCCTGACTACATAAGCAAAGATCCGTGGGCTTTAAACGGGACCCAAAGGATACACGTCACAATCTATGCTGGGATTAGACTTCACACTCCTCACTGGGCAGAGAGAAGGTCAGGTTGGCTTCAGAAAATGAGATTATGTTTTTTCTCTCTCTCTCTCTTTCTATTCCTAAAGGGTAGCCATGAGCTGGAATATAATAACTTTTTATTTTCAGTCTTTTGAGACAGAGTCTGAGGTAGCCTACATCGGCTTTGAACTCAAAATCCTCCAGCCTCAACGTCTTAAGGGCTGGAATCACAGGCAGAGAGAGCCCTCCCCACAAGCTATAGCGACCCTTAAAAAACAAAAAACAAAACAAAAAAAACAGTGACCTTAAATAAATGTTCTTCCTGGGAATTGACTTACGAGTAGATCTAAACTACAAATGAAAATATTTTGTGTATTTGCATCTACCCGATGCGAGGACAGGTTTCAAGGGCTGCAGGAGATAGTTTTGCATGGTGCCCTCTACTGGAGGGCTGTGTAACTGCACTCTGCTTTCCATGTTTTAGGGTGATGGTGCTCACAAGTATACACAGAGCAAGGTTATTGGTTTATCAAACAGGAGGAAGTTACTATGTTGCAGTCACAGCATCAGGCATTAAGGGCTTGAAAGATTCAAACTTCAGACTTTTCCTTTGAAGATCTCAAGCCCCGGGAGACAAAGCCATTCGCAAATAATTACATTGTTGTAGGCTGAAAAATGCACCAAGGGCTACAGGAACCCACAGGATAAAGTCATTCAAGCCGTGATGCAAAGAATGGAGAACTTCTTGCATAAGGAGGGGGCGGCAAAGAGGATGCGGAAAGTGAGGGTTTCCGGGGTTAATGTGTGAGAAAGAATGTTACAGGCAGAGGGACTGGGATGGGCAAAGGTGCCCGGGTACGTTTGGAAACTGCAAGTGTCCTGTAGACTTCTGGGAAGGGGAGTGGAGCTGTCAGAGAGTCAGGTTTGAAAGGCCTGGATGCCTTGCTGAGGAATTTAGTTTTGGTGACATAGAAGACAAGAAGCTCTTAAAGGATTTCACCCAAAAGAGTTACATGATAAGATCTGGACTTCAGAGAAAGCACAGTGATGCCTGGTATGTGTGAAAAGGCCATTACAGCTACCCTGCTCATGCTTTTCTGAGTGTCACGATTTGAGACTGTTGTGAACTTGTTACCATTAAGCAGTGAACAGCCACGTCTGTATACACCCTGCCTCTGTTGATCGATGCGTGGGTATAGTTCCACATGATGAGGCCCAGGGGCGTCTGAGGGGCTTGCTCTCAGTATGGGCTCAGACACCCTGCATCAGGACGCCCATGTTAGCCTCGAGACTCCAATTAGTCTTGCAGGTGTAAAGGTCCTGGAAGAGGCCAGATACACGTGTATGGTGGGAGCCCAAGGAGAGTTGCAGGAAGCTAGAAAGCCATGCGTATCTGGGAGGGACCACCAAGCAAAGATGGCTGCCTTGGCTCGACTATGGCTTGTCCTCTTCAAAACGTGTGTTTAAATTTTATTTCCAGTGTAAAGGTGTGGGGCTTACAAGGGCTCTGCCCTCAGTAGTGGGATTAATCCTGTTCTCGGGAAACTGGGCTAGTTCTCCAGGGAGCCAATGAGTTTTTGAGGGACCGGATCAGTTACCATGGAAGCACAGTTACTGCAAAGAATGGCTGCCTCTTGAGCATCACCATGCTCTTG